ATTGTAGGTGGTGAATCAGTAGATGCGAATTATCAGATTCTGAAAATAAGGGTAAGTAGAACCAAGTCAGACAAGGATCATCTTGACAATACACAATTATGTGGTTATTCTTGTGATATCAACTTCACTGGTATTTCTTCTCCCCTACGCATTTCTTTACACGCATCCCCATTGATCATGATTAAAAACAGGGTCCATTGTAAGTTTTCGTAATGCTAGCCAATACTTCCACAATTTACCTATAACTGCAACAATAGTTCATATACTGAAGTAAGACTATGAGTGAAAACTGATCAGTGTTTTATTGTTTAGCAAGCTTTAATGTTTGAATCTTTAATGGTTATTGTGTTCAAAACTTGAAAAATATTCATTATGTGTGTTTTATTGTTCCACTGTTGTGATTTTTTAACTGCAACATCGTTTTTTAAGAGTATCCACTTTCTTTCTCTTTCAATCATGATTAAGCACTCTAGTGCATTTCATTATTTTCATGTCATGACAATTAAATTTTCAAATCTATTTTGCAGTTTTTTGAAGTTGAACCGGAGGACCTACAATTCGATAATCAAAAGGAAGGATTGTTATTGATATTATTTAATAAAGCATTCTATGATATTCTATAAGAATGCATATTCTTTTGTGATGTTTCTAAATTTTTTAGAGTCATGCTTAAGCTATATAAAGAAAGAGATAAACAAAAGTTGCGATTCTGTTCTTCCTTTTTATTGTTGCTATATTCTTTCACATGTTATAAAGAAACCTCATTCGTTTAGAATGTATATTATTTTAGCATGTATTTGTAATTTTTCAGAATGCATCAACAAATTATATCCTGATTTGTATTAATTTTTGTAAACTTATCAAGAGAATGTGTCAATTTTGCAATTATAATGATTATTATTTTGATGCAGATTCTTATTGTTTAGAAAATATGCAATCCTATTCTTCAAAAATTTTATGTCGTATGAAATCTTTTTAATGATATTATATTCTTTAAGAATGTTTAATTCTAAAAGAATGCAGACACAATAATAAAAAACTTAACCGAAATATTAAAGGTATTCGTAAAGAATTTCCAATATGCAAAATTTAGTATACAATATTCTTAAAGAATGCACGCAACATTAAAAAAAATCTTCAAACAATTTTACTAATCATATAAAAGATACGGTTGTTATTAAAATGTAAAAGGTATAATTTTATTTTTATGAAATTTAATTTAAATAGCATTCCAGACTATTCTTACTTTCTATAAATATATATTAACCAATTTGACTAATTTACTCCTACAATTAATTAAGTGTAATTATATAGTAATGATATCACATGTTAATACCATATACCCTACGATCACAACCCTTAATATTTTTAATCAAACGGACAAGAAATTGTCATACATTCACAGAATATTTGTTGTTCACGTTTGATCCATATATATATATATATATATATATATATATATATATATATATCTATATATATATATATATATATATATATATATATATATATATATAGAGAGAGAGAGAGGTAGGTACAAATGTTTCTCACATCTATTGTGTGCTAAAATGCACCAATAGGATTTTAGTATTAATTTATAGTATATTAAATGCTATCCATACTATAACTCATTTTATGGAAACCCATTAAATTCGTTATTAATGTCAACAATAATATTCTTTAAGAATGAATTCATATCTAGAAGAATGAGAGTGTATTCCAGCAGAATGAGAGTGTATTCTAGTAGAATACACTCTCGTTCTTCATATTCAATGCAACTTTATTATATTTTAACTGAGTGAGTCCTAAAACAAAATAAGAACTCATATATAAAAACCTAGATGCGAATTCATTCTGAAAGAATGTTTTTGCTGACATTAATTACGAATTTAATTAGTTTCCATAAAAAGATAATTATAATTATGGATATCATTTAATATACATATAATTATGGAAATCATTTAATATCCATATTTATTTAATTAAATAATTATATAATTTACTAAATTCCTATAGGTGCATTTTAGCACACAATAAATGTAAGAAACAAAATAACTTAACCGCATATATATATATATATATATATATATATATATATATATATATATATATATAACTTAGGATACGTGAAAATATCCAACTGATCACCGTCTCCATTTTCATCCCATTTTGGTTTCCATTATTTTTCAATCCTACCCATTTACCACTCTACTTTTTAAGAAATGAATAGTGTTACTCTAAATATGAAGGAACGTTGTTTATTTTCTTAAAAATTGAGTTGAAGTCTTGTTGTCGATTTTAGTCTCTTTTTTATGTTTGTACATTTGCATTTTATTTTTATCTGCTAATTATAATTTAAAGTAGTAATTAATATTTGCAATATCCTATTATATTTAAACTATATTAGTTGATCATAAATGTAAAATTTAACCGATAATTGACAAAATAATTTATATCAATAAATTCATAAAATATTTAAATTTATTGTATGCCAAAAATTTATCTTGTTATAATTTTGTGATAATATCATTTATAAACGTATTATAAATAAAAAGGTAAAAATATATATTTTAAAAAATTAATTATTAAAAATGATGTTTTTGACAATCTACATAAATTATAAAATAACAAATAGGATAAAAAAAATAAAGTATAGTTACTATTTACTTTAACTTTTGTACTTCATTTGAAAATAAAAAAATAAAAATAGATTATGTAAATAAAAAATAAAATCTGGCAAGCAATGCAATATAAAATGATCATCGAAAAAAAATTGAAAATTAAAAAATAAAAATAGATTATGTAAATAAAAAAATAAAAATCTAGCAAGCAATGCAATATAAAATGATCATCGAAAAAAAAATAAGGTAAGCAAATCAATATAAAATGGCCTTGGCAAGCAAACAGTCTTTTCTTATTAATACTATGAAATTAGAGAAGTTTCAAAGATGATGATCACCATTGTATTTTATCAAAATTGTAATAAGGTTTTTTTTTTTTTTTTTTTTTTTTTTGTATATATCAAAGTTAAGTGTTCAAACATTATCAATCATTTTCTAAAAAACCCTATTTCCCGTTACTCTCTGAATTTATCACAAAGGAACCCACAACCCACCCAATATCCCCATCACCAATAAATGACATTACGTCTTTCAATTTAAAATCATAAACATCTAACATTATTGTAGAAAAAAGGTGCATCCAATGTTGGGTTTACATGATTAACCCGTTGAATAAAACAAATGGGTATTTCACTTTACATGACTAACCCTAAAATAAAATAAGTGATCCTCCATTTTACATGATTTACGACTTGAATACATCATATCTTCAATGCTTTTTGCACATGGGAATTTTCAAAAGCCTAAAGGAGTTATCAAGTGATTCTTTATTTTTCATTGCTTTGGCATTTCGCCCAACTAGTCTTTTCCATTTAAATTCTTTTGTTTTGTATATTATTATGTTGTTACCATTTGACTTACCTTTTAGGAGTGCCAACAAGGTCATATGTTATCATATTAAAGGTGTTCTATATCATGTTACCAAAATCTTTGCTTTCCGAATCTACAAGGTGTAAGCAAGACCCTTCTTATAGATTTAACTTTGTCCTTTTCAAGGAACAAAATTATTTAAAATGGAATATTTTCTTGAATGCACATATATTCTATGTTGAAGTTAGTTCATTGATAAATGATACTTGGTTGCAATATACCACCCTTTAACTACCACACATATCATTGCTTGAGCCAAATAAAATTGTTTGGATACTCATTATGAATCTACCCATGACCAAAAAACCAACACTCTTTTGTATAGCAACTTGTAGAAACTTCAAAGAATCTTGTTTTGTTATCATATAAGATCTGACTGAATCAGATTCGATTTTATAATATGAGATAAGTTTTCAAAGATTACTTTTAATTAGAGTGATAGGTGTTAGAAATTTGGGTTTAATGACACTTGGAAATCTGAGAATCGTGAATATCACCTTTAAATCAAAGTATTTTTGTGGATTCTCAAATCCTCAATTGGATAAGACTAAGAGAAAATCAGAGAAAATAGAAAGGGAATGAGAGGGTATGTTTTTCGTGAGTACTAGAATATGACCAAAAAACTGGTTTTTGATCTATGTCTGAAAACTATCACAAAACAGTTTCAAACTGTTACAAACCACCAAAACTGTTAAAACAGATATTTGGATAAGAGCCAAAAATTGGGTCAATTCTCAGAAAAACCACTCAGGGGCTTGGACCCCGTTCCCACAAACGTTGCCCCCGGACCGCCGTTCGTTTAAGGGATTTGCCCCTAAATAACAGTGTACTTTGAATCTTGAACAAACTTAAACAAGTGTGCACTCCGCACCTTTCAAATCGTGTTAAAAACGAATTATAATACAATCAAATCGTGTTAAAAAGGAATTGTAATACAATCATGTTATATCATTAGTCTTTTTCTCAATCAAATCGTGTTTAAAAAACAAATTATAATACAATCATGTTATATCATTAGTCTTTTTTCTCAATCAAATCGTGTTAAAAAAAAAACAAATTATAATACAATCATGTTAGTATATCATACCGTATTCTAACAAACAAGTACTCAATAAAAGATAAGTAGGACAAAACATAACTTAAAATACATTAAGCATTATTCTTTCATTCATTGTTTTCAATCAAACATATTATATTATGTTTATATACACAAAGAAATTAAAGTTTTCAAATCGAAAGTTTGTATACTATCGAGTCATAAAAGATGGACAATAAGGAAGAAAACATTCCACACTTTATAAAGTACACAATCTTCATGTTTTCTACCCCATAAAACACCATTGAAATCTAATCCCCTAATTAAACAACCTTAAATCAACATTATAATAATTATTAAACTAAAAACACAAAAAAAAAAAAAAAAAGTTGAAATTTATGATCAACCACCAACCCACTCACCTTTTGGGAGTGTCGTGAACAACTTGCTAAAAGACATTAAATTTCAATCCATTACCAACTAACGGCCACCGTACTTCCGACGACTCGTTTCCCGTCCGACCACTCAATCCGGCCAAAAGCATTTGAGTTCACCGGCATCGACGCCGCCGTGAATGTCACTGTGTATGATTTCTTCTCATTCACTTGAGAAAAACTCAACGTTTGAGGAACCACCGATATTTGCACCGATTTGTTATCGGAAAACGTGGAGACTTTGTAGGTTGATGATTCACCGCCGACGTTAGTTAAAGTTCTTGTTTGTTTAACCACGGTGGCGCCGCCACTTTTGCTACTTGAACCCGATGGGACAACCACCGCGAATGAAGGGTAGTTAAGATCACCGACGCTGTATTTTTTTGTAGAGTCGCAACCAGTGGTTCTCTTCGTTACCACTTGAATCTGCGCCGCCGTGTAATTCAATGCACAGAGAAAATCAAAATAGTCATCGGCGGAGATGTCGTAAACCAGCCCTGGGTTGAGGGCGGATACAGGGTCAACATGACCTGCGCCATGGTCAAACGGAGTTGAAGGGTTGCCGGTGGCGAGGTCTTCGATTATTTTACCGTTTTTGTAGGCTGTGTAAGCGGTGGTCATTAGGGCGGACTTAATAGCTGCCGGACTCCAATTTGGATGCGCCGCCTTCAGCAACGCCGCGAGTCCGCTTACATGGGGGCAAGACATCGACGTGCCGGATATAATGTTGAACTCCACGCGCCGGGAATCGTCCGGCAATCCGGTGGGTCCAACTGCCCCTGACCACCCTGCTAAGATGTTGACACCTGGCGCCAAAATATCTGGTTTTAGAATCTCCGGCGTGATGGTGTTGGGTCCCCGGGAACTGAATGACGCCACCACCGGCGACGGTTCGATCCCAAGTTTTGTCCCTTCAAATAGGATTGTCGCCGTTGGGGATGAATCAGAAATCACATACTTTCGTATCTCGTCACCGGCTTTTTGACCCACGGTGGTTGCTGGCAATAAATGGGCGTCGGCCACCAGTTCTTCACCGTTGGCGGCGGTGTTTGTCAAAACCATACCGGCGCCACCAGCTTCTTTCACAACTGAACCCTTTTGAACTCTAGCATTAACCCCTCTGTCGCAAAGTACGAGTTTACCCTTCACCATCTCCGGTATCAACGTCCCCGGCATACACAGAGCACCACTCGTCGAATTACTTGCGTTACCGGCGTAGACAATCGGCAGCATCTTATTCGGCAGTGATGGACCTTTGTACAACGATACGCCGGAGTAGTTTTTCCCATTTCCTAGACTAACATACGCCGGGAAATCACGGTCTAACGTCCCAGCACCGACGGTTGTTATCCACGGCGACACGTTTGATAAACTGTAGGGAGTGGGTCCGGCATTACCGGCGGAGCAAGATATCAAGATACCCTTTTCCATGGCGGCGAATGCTCCAATCGCCACGCTGTCACGGTAATAGTCAGCCGTACCACCGCCGAGTGACATAGACATGACATTAACGTTGTCGGTGATTGCCTTCTCCATAGCTGCTAATATATCGGAGCTGAAACAGCCACCGACCCAGCAAACTTTGTAAACCGCCACCCTAGCTCGAGGCGCCATCCCACGGGCTGACCCAGAGGCGTATCCGAGTAAATTCGCTCCGGTAACAACCGATCCACCGGTGGTGGTTGAAGTGTGGGTTCCATGGCCATCATCGTCTCTAGGAGATCTGTTCTCTTTCGATTCATCGATTGGGCCCAAAGTCGCCTCGTATCCTTTCGCGAAAAACCTCGCTCCGATCAGTTTCCGGTTACAGTTAGAAAGAGTGAAGTTCGTACCAGTTTCACACGCGCCGTTCCACGCGCTAGGGACTGGACCCATTCCGGTGTCGTCAAAGCTCTTGCTCTCCGGCCAAACACCGGTATCAAAAACACCAATAACAACGTCACTATCTCCGGCAGACTGCGGGAACAAATTATCGTTTTGATCGAGGCCTAGAAACTCGGGCGTCCGTGTTGTATGAAGCTCGTATTTCAACTCCGGCAAAACAGAGAGAATCCCGGGTAGGTTTTCAAGAGATTCAGCTTCTTGAACACTGAGCCTGGTGGAGAATCCATGAATGACTTTCTCATATGTGTAGATCATCTCCGCCGATTCCGACACCGATTTAAGCGACGCATCGAACCACTGCCTGTGATCCTCTCCGAAACTCGTCGGCATGTCGTGCTTCGCCATGTGAACAATGTAAGTCTTCTTCTCCGCCATTGAAACATGGCTAAAACCCAGAAACAGAACAACACCACCAAGAAAGTTCATCATTGTAATCAACCCCATGGGCGTGAAATATAGAGTATTCTTAGAGAAGAAGGATCAGAGTTGCAGCATTATTATATAAACAGTGAGGGTTTGAACAGCTGTATGAAAGTCGAGTAAAAAAAGTGGGAGTTGCAGAAAGAGAGAAGGTAGTGGGGACGGTGGAGTGGTGTCTGGTTCTGTCGATGATTGCGTTAAAACAAAAGAGATGACAGCTTTAGTGAGTGAGTGTCTGTGTGTGTCTGTGTGTGTGTTGTGTGTGATATATATATATATGTATATCTTCTTCTCGTGGTTAAACACATACACACCTTACTCTTACCTGTTAATCTCTAATTAAACTTAACATGAAGTTACAAGTTTGGTCCTTATAATATGTCAAAGTTATGGATGTGTTCGAGATGTTTCATTTGTTGCACAACTAGTTATTAAACTTTGTTTATTCTTGCTCTCTTGGTCTTGGTGTATTTGTTCTTTTTTAATATTTTATTATTTGGGTTAAAATGGTAATTCATATGGAAAAAATTTCGATAAAATCTCAATATTTTAGGTCAATTTACGGTTTAATTCTAACTTTTAATTTTTTTACAATAAAATCCTGATTATTTTATATTTTGTTCAAAATAACGAAATAATCTTTTTTATTTTTCAATAGAAAAGAACAGATTGTCGTATAAAATTAAATACTCGGAACTTTTCTGTTCAAAAAATAAATATTGTGATTAAACTGAAAACTGATCCAAAATATTGATATTTTATCGGAAATTTCTCATTTATTGGGTACCAAAACGTAATAAGCTAATAAGTTATTTTTTAGTGTGTTGGCTAATTATGCATAAATGTATGTTTAATGAATCCCATGTTTAATAAAGAAATAACTAACTAACTAACTATCAAAAACTCTTTATTTAAATCAATAAGTATTTATGATATCTTTTTAATCAATGGATTTCTCATATGTGCCATAAGGACACACATAATAAACATTAATTATGAGAAATATTACCAAACATATGGATAATTACTTAGTGACCAGGTAATTAACGCATAAGAGTTTAAAACATTTGCCTATAAATAGAGGAGCCTTAGGAAATAAATTTGGATGATTCCAATCCCATAATTTGGTTGCCTTTCACCCCACACTCAAAAGCCTAGAAACCTTTCTATCATGACGCAACATTTTTTTGGTCATAACACGACTTAAGATCGGAACCCTAATTGTTTAATGTAAGAACCTGAAATTTAGAAAGATTTGACTTTTATTCAAATATTAACCAAAAGAGTGAAATGGTCAATTATGAGAAAAATATGAGAATAAGAAGTTGTGACTTCATGGAAATGGCCAAGATAAGTTTAAGCCACTAAGATGAGGTTAGATGAGCTAGTTCAAGAGAATGAATGCATGAGAAGATGTATTTTTCGTCAAAAGGGTAAAATGACAATTTTATGCTTTTTGGACCAAGTTTGTGACTTTATAGATTAAGACCTGTATTAAGTCAATGAAAAATGACTTTAAATAATTTTGGAGTATGTTCCCACCTTCTCGTGGATATAAAGATCATAGAAACTAGGTAAGAAACAAAGAAGTTATGCATGTTAGAAGTTGGGATAAAAACTGTCCCAAAGCTGGAATGAAATTAGCCTAGGAGTTGTTGTCAAGCAGTTACTGTGACACAGTGAGGGTGACAGAGAACGAGTTACATTCTTGTCGTAAGTAGAGGGCATTATACTTTGGCTCCGCAGCATGGTGTATGTGTGCCACGACGTGGTGGCCAAAGTAGGATGCTGTTGTGGGAAGGCACCGTGACTCAGTGAAAAACTAACCATGGTTAAATAATGTGCACCACAATGCGGTAAATAGATGACCGCGAAGCGGTTACGAGGAATATTAAAGGTTGTTTAGCCTTAATTCTCGCCAAAAACACCCCTGAAACTCTTTGTAGCTAAGCTCTAACGATTCCGGGAATGGGAGATGATCAAGGGGCGATTAAGTGTGTTTGTGGCTTGGATTGGAGATTGAAAGCTCATGAAGTAATCATTTTATCCATTTTATAGCTAGTTAGGGCTTTAAGGAACTTGAAATGTTGTAAGAATAGGACTTGAGCTAGAGGATGAGTCAAGATGTATCAATAGGAGATTTGGAGCCGAGTGGTAGTTAGTCTTCACTAACTAACAAGGTGAGTTATATCTCTCTCACACACACTTTGTCTCTCTCTCTTTAAATTATGTTATACATTATATATATGTACTTTTTGTGTGTGTTTGTATGAAAAGAGTCATGTAACTAACCATGAAAGAGATGAAGAAAAGATAGGATTATATAAATTATAATCCTATGTAAGACTAAGTGCTTGTGGTTATACATGTAAGACTATGTACCTGAGCGTGTATGTATAACCAAAATATGTGTATATGTACAAGGAAAGGATATGGGTATTATGAATAATACTCACAAGAGTAAATGAGAAAAGAATGAGATTATATGTAATATAATCCTATGTATGGTTAGAGATGGCAAGGGTATTTGTAAAATACCCAAGAGATGTAGATGATAAAAGAATACAATTATATCCTTTATAATCCTATGTGTATGAAAGTATGTCTAGATCTTAATGGTATTGTCTAGAATACCTATATGTTAGTAGATATAGTTAAAGATTAGGTAGTTAATGAGTTAAGTACTAGATGCTTAGTAGAAGATCTCTTGATGAGATAAAGAGATAGAATGTCCACGGGACAAAGTATTATTTGATGATTCACATAATAGAGACAGATAAGTGTAGAAAGATGATTCTTTTGGGAATGAGATATATGTAACGCACGGATTCGTTTGGTAAAACTCTTGAAATAAACTCTTTCTTTTTATTGGACTAGACCCGAGTACGTTGGGCGTACACAAGGTACGCATGGCGTACTCCCATGCATACGCGGATCGGGGGTGCCCTATGCATACGCTGGCCACCTTGAAGAGAATTATTGAGCTTACTATGAGTTTTTCGTGTTATTTTTGTGATCTTGAAGAAGAAGGAGGCTTGAGGAGAAGCAAAGGACAAAAAGAAACTTGTTGATCCAAAGGTTGTGCATCGTTTCTAGCTCATTGGAGGTATAAAGTTTGAAACTTGCTCATTCTAATTCTAGATCTAGGGTTAGGAAAGAACTTAGCATCTTTTGGTCCCATAGCATGGTCTTTTGGAGTATGGGCTACTACAGGCCATTTGAGTTGTCCTTTTGGGCTCTTAGGGGTGCATGAAGTCATAAAATCAAATCCCGGAGGTTAAAAATCAACCATGCATGAGTTGGTGACCACTTAAGATAGATAGAAGGCTTAATCCATGGTTTGAGTCCCATTAAGTCATGTAAAAGTATAAAGTTTGCAACTTTATGGCTTAAGACACTTTTATGAGCTTGCATCTGAAATCTGAACATTAAAGCTTAATGGATTAAGTCATTGGAGCATGTTTGGGTTGACTGACCAGTACGCCGAGCGTACTCCTGAGTACGTTGTGCGTACTGGGCCAGTGCCTCCGATTCCGGATAAACAGTGTACATCGGGCGTACGATCCATGTACACCGTGCGTACGTAATCTATGGGCTTAAGGGATTTTGGGCTTGAGTTTTGTTGGGATTTTTTCCTTGTTTAGATTTGGGCCTCAAGCCTTTCTGTAGTAGCAGGACATTTATGAGCCTAAGGCCATTTTGGGAGCTCTTGGACCCATATTGGGCCTTAGGTCCTTTTGGTTGGGCTTGGAATGCCTTTTGGGCCTTGGTGGGGTAGGCCCAATGAGGCAAGGGTCAAGCAACCATTTGCCATTAAAATCAAGATTTAGGGTTTGGACTCTCGGGTTAGACTATTGACCTAATTCTTAATTAGGGTTTTATACTTGTGATCTAGTGAGAGGATTTCGCAAGTCAGTAGCCCGAGTGTGATTTGATATCTTCAGTCTGAGGTTAGTTAGCTTCACTGTATTTGTCGGTCGAAGGCACCAATGTCGGCCCCCTAGTTTATGCTTGTAGTATAATGATTGTCTTCGTGATAATTGTCTGTTATGTATGTATTTGTCTGATGTCTCTGTGACTCTTTCGTTATGATATTATGTGTTAGTGGTAGGGGTGAAATAGACCCGATACCGGTTGAAAGAGACCGAAGGGGTTGAAATATACCTAGTACTGGTTGAAAGAGACCGAAGGGGTTGAAATATACCCGATACCGGTTGAAAGAGACAAAAGTGGTTGAAATATACTAGGTACCGGTTGAAAGAGATCGAAGGGTTGAAAGCACCCAAATATGCTTGACTTTTATGTATGGTATGGGGTATTTTTGGGGAACTCACTATGCTTTGTGCTTACGGTTTTTAGTTTATGTTTCAAGTACTTCTAGCTCGAAAGGGAAGGGCCTGGCCTGATCGCACTGCATCCACCTATGATTTTCCGCTTCACGTGATTTTGGGATTATGTACTCTAATAATATGTTATTACGATATACTCTCGACTATTTTTATATGAATATCGTATGTTTGAAATGAATTTAAATGTGAAATTTTTGTTTAAATTTTTTGGGACTTTACGATATAGGTTCTTTTGGGGACAAGAGTATGATTCCTTCGGGAATGAGATGATGGCTCCTTGGGGAACATAGATTGATGATTCTTGCATAAATGAGAAAGTATATGGTTAGAGAAAGCAGATAACGGTTCCTTGAAAGGAACAAGATAAAAGAGTTGCTTGTAAGAACTTAGATATAATCTGTGAGGGATTATGTGACATTCCTTTTTTTCAAAACCGAAAAAAAATTCTTTGCGCTTTCAAAATTCATAATATCTTTTATTTACGGAAATTCCATGTATATTATAATATTTTGATTACAATTGATTGTACCTAATATCAAAATTCTAAGGATGTCATAATCGATACACAACGTAAGTTACAATGATGCATATAAACTGAGTGGGTCAGGTTGGAAATCTGGTGAGATACATGTGGTTTTAAATCCTACAATAACTTAATGATAATAAATCATATAT